AGGAGAGGAGAGGAGTAACATTGCCCCCCTCCCCACTAAATTCCTTATTTAGTGGAGTAGTTCACAGTCTAATGGAAGAGGTAGAAATCATTTCCATCCATTATGGTATTTACAAGGGGTAAGCTTTGGGTTCTGTGGAAATAAAAAGTCTGGGTGAGCAGGGTTGGGGTCAGGGAAGGTTTCCTTGAGGAAATGACATCAGACTGAGGGTTGATGAATGTGTAGGAGTTAAGCCAGTCCTAGAAGGATGGGAAAGGCATTCCTACAGAGAGAACAGCACCAGCCAAGCTGTGTCCTAATAGACACCATATGTGGGGATGGGAGGAGGAAATGGAGAGAAATGGTGAAATAAAATTTAAGTAATAAACTTCAAAGAAGTGCATTAAAAATAAACCCATAGCCTTCTCTCAAAAAGTAAGAAGGGTAGCTGAGACCGGTTTGGCTCAGTGGATACAGCGTCGGCCTGCAGACTGAAAGGTCCCGGGTTTGATTCCGGTCAAGGGCATGTACATTGTTTGCGGGCACATCCCCAGTGGGGGGTGTGCAAGAGGCAGCTGATCGGTGTTTCTCTCTCATCGATGTTTCTAACTATCTGGGTGTAAAATCAATAAAATATATATATATTTTTAAAAAGTAAGAAGGGTAAAAAAAAAAAATCATCTTTGGAATAGATTTGGTTAAAGCAAACTAAGCAACTTCCTAATCTCTGGTGGCCTTTCAATCACAAAGCAGGCATTGACCTCTAAATCTCAGGCAGCAGATGGAAAGCAAGTGAATAGCGCACACACACATAAAGAAAGGGAGAGCAGAAGGGACGGGGAGAGAGAGAAAGGGAAGGAGGGAAGGAGTGGGGAGAGAGAGAGAGAACATGAACTGTTGTCTAAATTCCAAACCACATAGCAGTTAAGTAAGAGATTATATCATAAACTATACAAACCAATGGAGAGTGGGGCCAGTCTGCTCTTCTGGGGAAGAGACACAGCATTATCTAAGAATTCCCAGCCCTCTCTCTGCCTGTAAAATTATTGTTAGCAATATGAACTCTGCCCCACACTCTGTCCCTTGGGAGGTAGATTAACTCACTTGGCATTAAGATGTGAGACCTGCTATGTTCGTTTTGTGGACTAAGTTGTGTTTCTGACAGTGCCTCAACATGTGACCTTATTTGGAGATAGGGTCTTTACAGTGCTCATCGAGTTAACATGAAGTCATTGGGGTAGTCCTGATCCAGTAAGATGGGTGTCCTTGTAAAAGGGGGTATTTGGACACATGGGCACATAGAGAGGGATGGCAAAGTGAAGAGACAAAAGTAGAAGCCATCTGCAAGCCAAGAAGTCAAGCCTGGGACAGGTTCTTCTCTCAGAGCCCTCAGAAGGAACCAATCTTACCAACACCTTGATTTTGGACTTCCAGCTTCCAGAACAGTGAGATAATAAATTTCTGCTACTTGCCGGAACCGGTTTGGCTCAGTGGATAGAGCGTCGGCCTGCGGACTGAAAGGTCCCAGGTTCGATTCCGGTCAAGGGCATGTACCTTGGTTGCAGGCACATCCCCAGTGGGGCGGGGGGGGGGGGGGGGGGGTGCAGGAGGCAGCTGGTCAGTGTTTCTCTCTCATTGACGTTTCTAACTCTCTATCCCTCTCAATTCCTCTCTGTGTAAAATCAATAAAATAAAATAAAAAATTAAAAAAAATGTCTGCTACTTAAGAAAAAAAAAAAAAAGAGTGACGTGGGTCGCAAAGGGTGGAAGTAGCAGATGTCCCAAAATATTTCTGTCATGGTCTCTGGTATAACAGTTTTTATTCCTGGCCTTTCTATTTCTTTGCTGCATGCCTCAGTTTCTCCATCTGATGATTGCAAATATAAAATGTGCCCCTTCAAAATGGATACAGGACTTAAACATAAGACGGGAAACCATAATAATACTAGAGGCATCCACAGGCAGCAAAATCTCAGACATATTAGGTCTAGTAATACTTAATGTCGTTTTCTAATACTTTTTTTAAATCGAATTTATTTAAACAATACAACAAAATTTAATCAACAATATAGTTGCCGTTATTTTCTACTACTTGTGCCCAATGCTCAGGAAGCATTTTAATCCCTCTGTTGTAAAATTCTTGTGATTTTGATGCAAAAAATTCGGTCAATGCATTTTTGAGGCATTCTTCATTATTAAATTTTTTTCCAAGAAGAAAGTTTTGCAAAGAACGAAACAAATGGTAATCGGAAGGGGCAATATCAGGAGAATATGCAGGTTGAGGGAGAACTTCCCATTCCAACTAGCGCAGTTTTTCAGCAGTGATTCTTGTAGTATGCGGTCGTGCGTTATCGTGGTGAAGAATTACGCCCTTCCGATTAATCAGCGCGGGTTCTTTTTCTCTTAAAGCTTGGGCTAACCTTTCCAATTGGGCACTATACACTGCACTTGTAATGGTTTGGTTAGATGGTAAAAGTTCATAATGAAGAATTCCTTTAAAATTCCACCAAACACACAACATCACTTTTTTCGCATGCAAGTCAGGTTTTGGCGTGGGCTGCGGAGCCTCATTTTTGTCCAACCATTGAGACCGCCTTTTCAAATTAACATACAGCACCCATTTTTCATCTCCAGTAACAATTTGCTCTAAAAACGGCAAACGGTTTTGACGAGAGAGGAGCGAACTGCAAATCGTGACTCTTTGATTACGGTTGTTGTCAGTCAACTCATGAGGAACCCATTTTCCAAACTTTTGGACTTTGCCAAGTGCACGCAATTGATTGGAAATTGTTTCTTGTGAACAATTTAAAGTTGTCACAAGCTCTTGTTGGGTAATTTGAGGATTTTGCACCAAAAGAGCTTGAAGAGCTTCTTGATCAAAATTGGACACACAGCCTCGACCACTCTTGTCATCTAACGAAAAATTTCCCTCGCGAAATTTCTCAAACCAATGCTGGCATTTTCTGGCGCTAACTGCATCTTGACCAAGAGCACTACAGATGTTTTTTGCAGCCTCACTTGCTTTTCTTCCTAATTGGAACTCGTAAAGCATGCAGTGCCGAATATGCTCTTCATCCGCCATCTTCTTAGCCCTAGTTTTGCAACAAAAACCAAACCAAACACAAACTTTTTCAAGCAAAACTTGTTAATTGCACTTCACACGTTCTGTAGATACCACATGTTTGAAGGTTATGTCAATACAAGTCAACGCCAAGCAAGATTTTAAACGAATGTTAAAAAACGACATTAAGTATTACTAGACCCGATATGCCAAAAGAACTTCTTCACTGATACTGCCCCTAGGGCAATGGAAGCTAAAGAGAAAATAAACAAATAGGACTACACCAAAATAAAAAGCTTTTTTACAGCAAAAGAAACTATCAACAAAACAACAAGAAAGCCCACTGTATGGGAGAACATATTTGCAAATGTTACCACTGATAAAGATTTAATATTCAACATTTACAGATAGCTTATACAACTAAATAAAAGGAAGATGAATGATCCAATTAAAAAATAGGCAATGGACCTAAATAGAATATTTTCAAAAGAAGACAGAAGGAAGGCCAAAAGGCACATGAAAACATGCTCAAAGTCACTAATTGTCCGAGAGATGCAAATCAAAACAACAATGCGGTACCATCTCACACCTGTCAGAATGGCCAACATCAACAAATCAATAAACGACAAGTGTTGGCGAGGTTGCGGAGAAAAAGGAACCCTCATGCACTGCTGGTGGGAATGCAGACTGGTGCAACCACTGTGGAGAACAGTATGGCGTTTCCTCAAAAAACTGAAAATGGAACTCCCATTTGACCCAGTAATCCCACTCCTAGGAATATATCCCAAGAAACTAGAAAAACCAAGCACCCCTATGTTCATAGCAGCACAATCTATAATAGCTAGAATTTGGAAACAGCCTAGGTGCCCGTCAGCAGATGATTGGATCCAAAAACTATGGTACATCTACACAATGGAATACTATGCTGCCATAAAAAAGAAGGAATTCTCATCATTTGCAGCAACCTAGATGGAATTGGAGAACATCATGCTGAGTGAAATAAGCTAATCAATGAAAGAGAAACACCACATGACCTCACTCATTTATGGATAATAAAGAACAATATAAACTGATGAACCAAAAGATAGATATAGAGACAGTAAAGCAACAAGCAGACTGTCAAATTACAGCGGGGAGGGGAGGGAGATCTGGGGGAGATAATAGATCAGCTGAAGGATTTGTATACATGCATATAAGTACAACCAATGGACACAAAACTCTGGGGAGGGAGGGTATGAATGGGGGGGGGGCAATGTTAAAATATGTACACAGATAATAATTTAATAAAAAAAATAAAATAAAATTTCCCCCAAAATTCCTTATTTGGTGAAGATAAATGAAATAACTTCTAACATGACTTGAGCTCCTTGAGCAATTGCCATGTATCCCAGATAACAGGACTCAGGAAGCCAGAATCAACTTAATCTAGAGCAATGAACCTGAAGGAACTAAAACAGCTTCAGCGGTTCCATCAATACTTTTATTTTTGTAATGTTTTTATTGATTTGAGAGAGGAAAAGGGGAGAGGGAGAAAGAGAGAGAAACACTGATGAGAGAAAATCATCTATTGGCTACATCCTGCATGCCCCCTACTCTACTGGGAATGAAGTCTGCAAGCTGGGCATATGCCCTGACTGGGAATCGAACCAGCGACCTCTTGGTGCATGGGACAATGGTCACCAGCCAGGGCTATTCCATCAATATTTCATTCATTCAACAATGTTTATTAAGTACCTCCTTTGTGCACTGTGTGAACAGAATTGACACTCACTTATCATTGTTTTCTAGTCTCATTCCACATCCCTTGTCTGTGACTGATGCATAAGAGAAATGGGCCACCCAACATACCAGTGTGAGCTGTGCTCATGGAAGATTCCATCTCAACCCAGCCCTGTCACATGGGGAATGGTGGAATAAAGCCAGTGACTCAGAAGGCAACAGACTACTGTGTCCAGCTCACCTGGGGATGCTAGTCAGGTAGGTCATGACATTCAGAAAGTCCTCATCTGAGATGTGTTTGAAGCCCACAAACTCTGGAAAAGTGATGATTGGAGCACCATCTTTCCCTCGGCCTCCTGCAACAAAAGTGGGTGGTCAAGATGTCAGTACAATGTTTTCATGTCACGCCTCTGCAGATAAAATATTCTGACTAATATCAAGTCAGGAGATGTGTATTGGCTTCTCCTTTTCTATCTATATTTCCTCAGAATAGATTGTGGGAAGTCTGACACTGAACTATTTTAAACAAGCCTTGCTCAGTGGTATTGTGAGAATTTGATTTTTGAATCCTTTGAAGACAATTACTGTGTGAAAGGTAATATTGATTTAATTATTTAACATAGGTAGAATAGTAAAGAAAGCCAACACAAATACATAATACTTCCATTCATTTTTGTAGTCACTAAGTTAAAAAGTTAAAATGGTAGTTAAGAGAGTTAACTCTAAAATCAATAACCTGGTTGAAATCTTACTTGGCCACTTAATTTCTATGTGATTTTAGGCAAGACACTTAACCTATGTAGGCCATATATATATATATATATATATATATATATATATATATATATATATATAAAATATTGTACCTACCTCAAAAGGTGTTGTGAGAATTAAGTGAAAACATAAGAAAAGCACCTTAGCAGGTGCTTGTTGCATATAGGTACTCACTAAATAGTGACCATTATGGTTATAACTATTAATGAAGCCACAATAAGCTGCCAGCACTTTGATAATTTATAAACAGGGATATAAGACATCCCTGTGAGAATAAAAATGTACAATTAACATTTAAATATTTAGCTCATTGGAGCACAGGTTAAATTGAATAGATTTCCCCATCTCCGAGCAACTAGATGTAGCCACATGACTAAATTCTAGCTTCATGGTTCCTAACTGTATGTCAGGTACTCAGGGAACTCACAGAGGCACCATGAATATTTTAAATTTTTAGGGGAAAAACAATAGTTGGCACCTGTCACCCGCTCTGCATGATATTAGCTTGAAGTAGTTCACAGTTTCAATAGAAGATCACACTAAATTCTTTTGAATAGCATTGTATCTTTGTGGAGGTGGGTTTGAGGTGGCTGCTGGGATAAAAGCAAGTGCAGGATGAAAGTGAGTGTAGAACAGGAAGGGAGGCCAGTGATGTCTAGCTTGATTCGAAAGTTTGAGATCACTGTGGTTACCAAAGAATGAATTTCTTAGTATTTATAAATTTTTTTCAGACAGCTATTGAGTTGTTAAAACGTGTAGACTTGGTTATTTTAACTGTTCAGTATTGGTTTTGGACAAAAAGGGCTGTAAAAAATTCCTGAGACTGGCTGCTCTGAAAAGCCATCTTTGCATTGCTCCTGTGGCTGCCTTTCTCTTTCCCAGAGTCTTCCATCTCTCGCTTTATAAAAAAATCCGCTGCATCCATCACCATTGTGGCCCACATGTCAGACACGGCTGGGGACACCAGCTCCAAGATCACCATCAAGGACTTAAAGGAGAAGAACGTTGTGAGGAGGCAGAGACTGGAAGGGATGCACCGTGAATGGGAACGCTAATGAAGAACATGGGGAGCAGGAGGCTGACCATGAGGCAGATGAAGAAGAGGAAGAGGGAAGGGAGGAGGACGGGGAAGAGGAAGGTGATGGCGAGGAAGGGGATGAAGATGAAGATGAAGAGGCTGAGGCAGCCACGGGCATATGGGCAGCTGAGGATGATGAGGGTGATGATGTTGACACCAAGAAGCAGAAGACCGATGAGGATGAGGATGACTAGACAGCAAAAGAGGAAAAGTCCAACATAAAAAAAAGGCCTTTGTGATCTATTCACCTTCCACTTACTGTTTCAGAATCTAGTCACCTTCGGAGAGAGTCTCTCAGCCTGCCCATCCACCCATCTGGAGCGCTGCCACCTGCAGACGGCAGGTACCCACCACTACCCAACCAAAACCACAACGTGAATTTGCAACAGAGGAGGAGAAAAGAACCCAAAACTACCAAGGCCCTACTTTTTTTCTTAAAAGTATTTTATAAAGGAACATTTGTTTATATTTTTTATTTACATTTTATATTTTTGTACATATTGGTAGGGATCGGCCATTTTTAATGATCATGGTATGACCAAACCAGCCTTTGGAGCATTCTCTGTCCCACTTCTGACTTAACTTGTGATGTGACCATGTTCATTATAATCTCAAAGGAGTTGGGGGGGAAACTTTTTTAAAAAGCAAAACCAAAACAAAAACAAAAAACACCAATCTTATTCTGAGCATTCCAGTAACTTTTTGTGTATGTACTTAGCTGTACTATAAGTAGTTGCTTTGTATGAGATGGTTTAAAAAAACCAAAGATAAAAAGGTTTCATTCCTCCCCCCCCCCCTTTTTTTTTAATGAAGTTGCTCTTTTTGGCCTTTTTTGGCCTGTTTGATTTATCTGTGAAACAATGTTGTCCAACAATAAATGGGAATTTTATTTTGCTGAGTTACTTGTTCTAACAAAAAAACAAACAAAAAATTACTGAGATACAAAGGCACTGAGAAGGGAGACAACAAGGGGAACCTGTGCCCCAGCCACAGGGGTGAGCGGTGAGCGCCTGCCAGGCTAAGCCCGTGAGGGGGATTAATGACTCCCATTAAGAGAAATAATGGCTCCCAAGCATAGCCAACTGCTACACATGATTGCATGTATTTCACATTCTAAGAAACAGGTGTCAGGGCAGGGTGTGGTGAGTGAGGACTGTGAGATTAACATGGGTGTGGGATCAATGAAGAAATTACAGAAATTGAGAGGCTAAGAGAAACGAGGGGGAAAACTATATCCCGGCTCCACCATCACATGAACCCACCTTCTGCCCTGAGTCCACGCCTGATAAGCATCTTTTGCTGACGCTCTAACATTCCATGTAAATCTGCTCCAAGGGAGAGAATGTGCTATTGAGCAAACATGACTATTTATATCACATAAAGAGAAAGTCAGCAATGTGGTTACACAAGGCTCCTGTGAGTGTTGTTTCTGTGAGTGAGTCTTGGATTGTCAGAGATACATCACTAGTGAATGAAACATGTGAGATTTGTCTGGATGGCTAGTCATTCTTCTCCAGGAAGTCCCTCTTTTTTAATCCTGTATGCGTATTTGAAAGCTTACACATAATATCAAGCTTTGACAAGGAGAGTGAGCTACCTCTTTACGGTGACTGAAAATAATTTAGGTCAGGGTAGTATCAGCTTTCACCTAACATTCTTCCTCTTTGCAGTTTCACAATCAAAGGAGGTACCAGAGAAACCTAAGTTAAGAGAATTTGCATTTCTAGGAAAGCTAAATTTAGATGCATTATAACTCTGTATGAACTGTATAACCAATATTTACCCCAAGAATGGCTAAAACATTCCAGGGAACTAAAAAGTAAAGTCATCAAATGAAGTCACTTTTTTTTTTTTTAATTCATTTTTTACAGAGAGGAAGGGAGAGAGATAGTTAGAAACATAGATGAGAGAGAGTCATCAACCAGCTGCCTCTTGCATGCCCCCCAATGGGGATGTGCCTGCAACCAAGGTACATGCCCTTGACCGGAATCGAACTCTTCAGTCTGCAGGTGGACGCTCTATCCAGTGAACCAAACCGGCTTTGGCATGACTTTCCTTTTTATCGTTAATTATGAATTAAAGCTATTCACACCTAAATGGAGAAATGTAGGTGGAGTTTTCTTGTAGACTGGTTAACAGCAACACTGAACACCAGAGAAGAGAGGCCCACCAGCGCCTCCCCAGGTCACCTGAGGACACCTCCTGCTGTTGAATATTATTAGTCTTAACAGACAGAAGCACTAAGGAAACAAAGCTGAGCCTCCCGCCAGCGTGGACAACTCACAGCAAAGCATTCAGTGCCCCCTGGTGAGGAAACGTGGAAATGCCAAAGTCCCCTTCAAGGAAGATAAGAAAACCAAACGCCTTGTAGCTGAGTAAAATGGTTACTTAAATAAGATAAACTTCACTCCTCCTGGCATAAATTTTACCTGTTTGTTAAATGGCACAAAGACTTCATCATACAGAAGAGAATTTGGAATGCGAGGAAATCCTGTGGAAAGACCTTGAAGGTCAACAATGGGAGAGACACGGAGGCAGTTACTGCTCTTTGCCTTCAAATATCTATTTTCCCTTTCTCTTTCCCAAAAGATTTTAACTGGAAAAAATGGCCACCCCACTCTCTGGGAGGCACTTTGGAAATCTCGGGGCCTAGGATACTAAATGATCTGTCCTACATAATCAAGAACTGTCCCATACCCTGTGTGATTTCTGAATGTCTTCCTAGAATCTCAATGTAAGTGAAAAAAACCATTGATAGTTATCTGATCCTAGACTCTAATTCTGCTTTACATATAATCACAAGGGTTTTTTATGTTTTCCCCCCAATTTATTGAGATATAATTGACAACACTGTATTAGTGTAAGGTGTACAACATAATAATTTGATATATGTATATATTACAAAATGGTCACCACAAAAAGTTTAGTTACATCCATAACCTCACATAGTTACAACTGTTTTCCTTGTGATGAGACTTTAAGATCTACTCTCTTAGCAATTTTCAAACATACAGTACAGGATTGTTAACTAGTCACCATGCTGTACATTACATCTCCAGAATTTATGAGTTTGTACCTTTTAACCACCTTCACATTGCTATGGGATTAAAATATATCATGAATAAAAAGGTCAAACATGTATTTGGAACATGTAATATTAATCATTTTTCATAAATATGTCATTTAATCCTCAAAATTTCAATTATTCCATTCATTATTCAAAAAAGGAAACAGAGGTCTTGAGAAGAAAATTGCCTAAGGTGATACAGCTAGTCAGTAGCAGAATTTAAATCCTTATTTAGGGATGTTGGGTATCAGTTTGTTTCTCCTATTCTGCCTCAATAATACTCAAAAGAGATCACTTTGGATCATTAAACATATAAGTTAATTATACTCTGGACTCCTTCCTCAGATGAGCTATTGTCTAATTATATACTCACTAGAGGCCCAGTGCATGAAAATTCATGCACTGGACAGGGGCAGAAGGGGGGAGGTTCCCTCAGCCTGTCCTGCCCCCTCTCACAGTCCAGGAGCCTTCATGGGTGGGAGACAATCAGGGGTAGGTAATGCCTTATCATACCTCTGCTGCTGCCACTGCTGGCAGCACAAGCTTTGGCTGGCCCTGGGTGGCTGGGGGGCTGAGGGGACTGGGTGCTGCCGTCTTATGGCTGTGGGTGCTGCCATCTTTGAGGGTGTGACAGTCAATTAGCATATTCCCTCCTTATTGGCTGTGGGTGCTGCGATCTTTGAAGGCAGGGCAGTCAATTAGCATATTCCTCCTTATTGGCAGAGGGTTAATTAACATATTCCCTCTTTATTAGAAAAGATATTCAGAGGCTTTAGAGTTTGGGTGTAAAACTGTAGGAATCCACCCTGCTCCACCCCATCATCCCTTCCAGACCTTGACGCACACTGGTGGCCAAGGGGCCTTCTTGGTACAGGGCCACAGCAGCAGTTGCCAGAAACCCAGATGCAGGAGCCAATCCCAGCATGTCCTAATTACAAGAGTTTTATCAAAAGGTTGATGAAACTTGGGAACTCAACAAGGGCTGGGTCACATATGTAATTACCTTTTGGAGTGGCTAGAGGGCACTTCCCCCAAACCTGAATAAGATGATTTTCTGCTGCCAGATAGCTCAGGGCATCTTAATCTACATGTTATTGTCTCCTGTTGGCCAAATACCTGAACAGCTGTAGGCCATTCCCCAATCTGACAATGCTTCTGTACCCTACCCTTTGAAGTGTATATCTCCACCTTGCCTTAGGATAATTTGTGTTAATAAAAAGCACGGGGTCCGGAGTCAAGGGAAGACTTTAGCTCTGTTAACTGAAGCTCCTCTGACCCCCAATGCCTCTCAAAACTATCTTTCATCTCTGGACTCCTACTTGATCTACACACAGCCTTTCTCCATGTTGCTGAACCCTTCTTAACCTGTTAACCTGGGAGTTCCCTTTTTAATTACACAACCTGTAATGGGCGCGTACTCTTTCACTAGGACATGTCAGTACGTCACACCTGGAGGACGTAATTTCATATTATTATTTTATTTATTTATACTTAATTAAAATAAGTGATTTTTTTCCATTTATTTATATATAAAGCACAAAGGAAAATACAAAATTACAACAACAAAAAATAGAAAAGAATACCAGCAAAAAAATGGAAACATCGAATTAAAAAATTATAAATTTTACAAACAATTATAAAGATTACAAAAAATATATACAGTCCCTCTCAGGGCGCAACATATATTTCCAGGACGTATTCATACGTCCTACCCATTCCCAATATTGTTTATGTTTGACATATTTATAGGTCCCGCTCAGTTAACAGGTTAATACTGGGACAAGAACCCCAGCACCCAGATACAGTTCCCATCCTGCCTTTGGTTCTGCACAACCCTAGGCTCCCCGTGGGAAGCTATGAGAGGGCTCCATCAGGAGGGTGGTTGGGCACTCCCTCCAGGGCCAAGTCTGTGGTGCCTAGAGTGGGGATTCAATGATCAGACAGCCCGGCTTCATAGGACAGAGCAGGAGGACTTAGATAATTTTATTATGTTTCAGACTCTGTCCAAAGCCCTGGTGAAGCAGGCAGAAATAAGAAACATGAACATCCTGCATTATGTAGCTCCCAGTGACTATGTGAGCAGTGACCAATGTGGAGGAAAGACCAGAGAATTCACCAGGTATTCTGGATTGTATAAGGTGTCCCCACCTAGGACACTACTCTGGGGTGGGAAACATACCTGAAAAACAAAGTTTAAATTTCCCTTGAACTCAGTAGAATGAGTTTAGAGCAGATTAAATATAATTTAGGAAAAGAAAGAAATGTGACTTTTTTTACATCCCATGTTGTAGAGTAAAATCCACACTAACTACATATTCTCTCTACAATGTAACTAAAGATGGCTTTGTTGCTTTTTGCAGAGGAGCTATAAAAGATAAGGGTAGTGCCCGACTTGTGTGGCTCAGTGGTGAATATCAGCCTATAAACCAGAAGGTCATGGTTCAATTCCCAGACAGGGCACATGCCCAGGTTGTGGGCTCCATCACCAGTGAGGGGCATGCAGGAGGCAGCCAATCAATGATTCTCTCTTATCACTGATGTTTCTCTCTCTCTCCCTCTCCATTTCTCTCTGTTGCCTCCTGCATGACACCTACTGAGGATCAAGCTCAAAACCAAGGTACATGCTCTTGACCAGAATCAAACCTGGAACCCTTCAGTCCACAGGCTGATGCTTTATCCACTAAGCCAAACCAGTTGGGGCCAGAAGGATATTTTGAACACAACTTAAGTTACCAGAGTTCATCTCAAGCTGGGTCATAAAATCAGTCTAAATTTATGAAGGTTTGTTGATCTTTTTTCCTCCCTACCTTCCTTTATGCCTCCCTCACATTTTCCTCCATTTTTTAAAAAGATAAGGATTTGTTACCTTATTCCTCTGGGATATGTGTTAAGGACATCTAATCTCGCTATCCCATGCTTCCAAGTTTGGTCTAACTATATTTTAGGGTTTGGTATGTACTTCTAGTTTCAGTAATAATGTCATATCACCTTTCACTAAGTGAATCAGAAAGAATAATAACCTAGTGGTGACAACTTTTCAATGCTGTGTCCAGGCTCAGAAAATTTCTAGCCTTTTATCAATACTAGCCTTTCTCTATTCCCAATCAAATGCTTAATAAAAAAAAAACACAACATATTAAAATTAGGTCCTAGGAGCTAAGGATACAAGACAAATCTCTCAGAGAACTACCTCAGCAATATTCATGAATCCTTAAAACCAAGACTCTCTAAGGTTGGATCTTAGAAGAACATCATGGTGGCAGCTATTGTCAGTAATTATTTCTTTTTCTTCTTCAAAATCTTTTCAGCTCTGTTTTTTTACAATCTCGAAGAAATGTACTCCCTCAAGAAAGATGAAATTGCACCCAGCAACTAAAGGAATGACATCCATGAGATTCGCCCTCCATCCCACATATGTAATTATCTTTTGGAGTGGCTAGAGGGCACTTCCCCCAAACCTGAATAAGATGATTTTCTGCTGCCAGACAGCTCAGGGCATCTCAATCTACATGTTATTGTCTCCTGTTGGCCAAATACCTGAACAGCTGTAGGCCATTCCCCAATCTGACAATGCAGCTGGATGGTCCCTCGTTCCTTCCATTCTGGGTGAGGCTTAAGGGATGACTGAGATTCGAGTATAATGTTCACCAAGATTCAAGAGGTTGGGCCCTCTGAGCAGGACCCCCAATAAAACCTAGAAATACACATGAATTAGCCCCTTACCTGAAAGAATGGCAAATTGTCTGTGAAGTTGTTCAATTATATCCACTGCCAACAAGGGCCTGATTTCCTGCTGCATAATTTCATCTGCATAAATGAAATACAAATTAGGTTAAATCCTTGCAAATTACAAAGAGAAATTATAAGGAAGAAAACTCTACTACTAGGGAAATGTGGGACTTATCAAGAATCAAGAGTTGGTTATGAACACATGATTCTCCTGAAAACTCTCTTCCTAAGATGCATGCATGGGTCTGGGTTTTGAGTGGTTTGAAGCTGATACACATCAGCACAGGAACCTCTTTCTAGAGCTTCTCCCAAGGTTTTGGGAGGGATCAGTGTAAGGATGGGGCCCTGAAGTTTAAGCTTCAGCAGCTTCACAGTTAACCTGCTAATGGTGTCATTACTAAGGGAGGTACTTATGTGTCTGCTTACTCCTTTGAGTCTGAAGAAGGATATTTTAAAAATATATATTTTATTGATTATACAGAGAGGAAGGGAGAAAAATAGAGAGTTAGGAACTTCGATCAGCAGCCTCCTGCATGACACCTACTGGGGATCAAGCTCAAAACCAAGGTACATGCCCTTGATCAGAATCAAACCTGGAACCCTTCAGTCCACAGGCTGATGCTTTATCCACTAAACCAAACCAGTTAGAGCCAGAAGGATATTTTGAACACAACTTAAGTTACCAGAGTTCATCTCAAGCTGGGTCATAAAATCAGTCTAAATTTATGAAGGTTTGTTGATCTTTTTTTCCTCCCTCCTTCCCTCCCTTTCTTTTTGCCTCCCTTACATTTGCCTCCATTTTTTTTTTCTTTCTTTCTGGAATACTTCAAGGGGACTCTTCCCATGGCCAAGCATGTTTAAGGAAGCACTTTTTTATTTTGCTATTTAAAGATGATCCTTACTGAATAAAAGGTTATAGATTTCCAAGACAAAAATTCAAATCTACAAATGTCCTCTAGCCCTCTAATTTGCTTTCTATCCATTAGGGAAAGGGGGAATAGAGAGAGGGGAAGACTCAGCGGAATCCCTTAGTCTGGGATAGGAAGCAAAAGTCATTTTCATGTTCTCTTTGCCTGAGATATTATTATCCTCATGTAATTGTTTCCAGGGAATCTCAAAGAATGAACTAGTTATTATTTCTACCACAGTTAAACATTTTATTAGATTACGGCACAAACCAAGTAGCCTGTGCACTAACATTAAACAGGAATCTCCTATTAATTCATCTGCAGTCTGTGATATTCTAGTGTTGACCAATCAGAGGTGATAGTTGGGAAGCTCCTCCTAGAGCCGTGGTTTCTACTTCTCAGCTTTGGTGTGAAGGTTGAAGGAGATGTTGCATATGGAGGTGTACACAGTAGTAATTCAGTAAATGCTGGCTATGTGCATTGCTCTGGATACATCTTTCCCATAATTGCTTTCTGAAAGTCATATAAGGGATTGGGCAAGTGCCAGTTTAAATCCAAAGACCCTTCCTCAATGACTACTACATCTCTTTTTTGGGGAGAGTGAGGGGGGGAGGAAAGAGGATAAACTCAGGCCAGAGTTCCTTCAGCCCAATACTCTTTCTACTCTGAATTCACCAAAAATCCAAGGAACTTCTACATTACTATTAATTCTGTGGGTGCAATAATGGCATGCCGTTATAATTTATACAAAGGGGGGGGGCCTTCTCTATTAGATACACTAAGTAAAGTATTTAACAGAGAAAGTATATGAAGTCTTTGACCTGCTTAAAAGTACTCCAACATTCCTCTCTACCAAAAATGTATAGGGAGCAGGAGAGAAGAAAGCAGACTGACATGATATGGATAATCACTGAAGCTGGTTGATGGGTCCATGGAGGTTCATTATACAATTCTCTCACCTGTTTCAAACACAATTAAAGTATTACAACCACATAAAGAATTTAAGCACAAACTGGGGTTGTGTAGCTAAAGAGTATTTAGCTACAGAAAACAATTGCCCAGTAGTCTACTCAAAACTAGAGATAGATTATTATTTTTTCATACATGAGGGAACATATTTAAGAGGCAATTATCTCAGAGAAAACTAAGATCATAAATGCAATTTATTATTGTCACACCTCAATATATAAGGCGTGCTTTATATTAAACACTTTAAATTAAAGAAGTAAGATGTGAAGGGATCAATAGAACTGAGTAGGCCAACCATCCCTTGCCCCATTTTGTTTTTTAATTATTTTTGTTTTCATTAAAACATAGTTAACATACATTATTATGTTCGTTTCAAATATACAACATAGTTATTCAACACTAGAGGCCCGGTGCACAAAATTCATGCACAGGTAAGGTCCCTAGGCCTGGCCAGTGATCAGGGCTGATCAGGTTCCCCCCCTCCCAACCTCCCCACCTCCTTGTTTTCTCACTCCCTCAGTGCCCGCTGATTGCCCTCCATGGTTCACACTGCCCCCTGGTGGTCAGCGCATGACATAGCAAGCGATCGAACTCCTAGTCTCCCAGTCAAACTCCCAGGACAATTTGCATATTAGCCTTTTATAATAGGATTAATATACCTTACAAAGTGATCACCATGCTAACTCTAGTAATCATCTGTCATCATTTAAAAGATTATTGCAATATTATTGACTATATTCCCTTCCTGTACATGCCCGTCTCATTTTTTTCTGTCCCTTCCCCTTTGGTAACTACCCGTGTTTGCCTGGAAATAAGACATCCTCCGAAAATAAGATCTAGTGCAACTTTGGGAGAAAAATTAATATAAGACACTGTCTTATTTTCGGGGAAAACAACTTGTTTTCTGTGTCTATGATTCTGTTTCGTTTGGTTTATTTATTTGGGTTTTTATTTTAGATTCCACCTATAAGTGAGTCCATTCATATTTATCTTTCTCTATCTGACTTACTTGACTTCACATAATACCCTCTAGGTCTAATAGTTTTTTGGTGGTGTCTTTAGGGTTTTCTATAGTTGGTGTCATGTCATCTGCAAATAATGATAGTTTTGCTTCTTCCTTCCCAGTTTGGATGTCTTTTATTTCTTTGTCTTATCTGATAATTGTGGCTAGGGCTTCCAGTTCTAGGTTGAATAGAGGTGGTGATTGTAATCATCTTTATCTTATTCCTAATCTTGGAGGAAAGGCTTTTAGCTTTTCACCATTGAGTATGATATTAGCTATGGGTTTTTCATATATGGCCTTTACTATGTTAAGATATGTTCCTTTTATACTCATTTTGTTGAGAGTTTTTATCATAAAGGGATATTGAATTTTGTTAAATGCTTTTCTGCATCTATTGGTTTTTATTATGATCATATGGTTTTTTTCATTTTGTTAATGTGATATGTTATATTGATTGATTTATGAATGTTGAACCATCTTTGCATTCCTGGGATGAATCATCTTGGTCATGGTGTCTAAATTTTTAAATGTATTGTTGAATCCAGTTTGTTAATATGTTGTTGAGAATTTTTGCATCTATGTTCATCAAGGATATTGCCGTGAAATTTTCTTTTTTTGTAATGTCTTTATCTAGTTTTGGTATCCAAATAATACTGCCCTCAGAAAATGACTATCTTAAAGTAAAAAAAATCATCAGGTCAAACATCATTAGTCAAGGACCACTGAATAATTATGTGCACTATGTTCACAGAAAATATTTAAAGTATAATATCAAGGATATAAAAATCATACGGATTGCAGCTACATTAAACAAAGAAGAAAGCATGTGGTGTGTTTATGTTAATGCATGCAGGCATATGAAAAAGGAATACATAAAATAGTTGTGTTAGAGTGATGGAATCATATAGTGGTTATCCCTTTTAATTCACATAGACAAATGCATTCTCTGAAAGTCTTTATTTTTTTTAATGATAACAGGACTTTATTGAAGTATAATTTATATGTAGTACAATGCACAGATCTTAAGTGTACAGTTTCATGAATTTTAACAAATATCTACACGGATATAACCATCACAGAGATCAAGATATGGAACAATCCCATCAACCCAGAAAGTTTCCTGGTGACCCCTGTTCCAGGCCCCACATTTTTGAGAGCTCCACATATCACAACCCTTCCTCCCATAAAGAGATGAGATAAAGACCTCACGGGTGCCTCTGTTACTCATAATCCAGACCTCAGTGCCGGCACAGCACACCAGAGCTCTAAACATCTACTGTCTTAACAGCAGTGGTTCCTCAGGGAAATACTTCACATCTCTTGGTCTATACCATCAAAAGAAAAGGTGACTGTATCCAAATGCTACGAAGGTTTTCGAGCCGTGCCATTGCTGTTATCAGGGACAGACACTGCTTCAGCATGCGGGGAGGATGTGAACGGCGAGGAATTGAGCAGTGGGAGTGCTTAGGTAAGAGAAAAGGCAATGAATTAATTTGTTGAATTCATCCTCTCATGTGGTATTAGTGCTTACATTCTTATATAATGAAAGGGCATGTCCAGTACTTCCAAGCATTAACTTTCTTTTTCTTCCTTTCAATTCATTATGCAAACATTCAAATTTTGAACTCCTTGGACACAATTACATTTTACTTAAGTCACATTTACTTCAGATCACTGCTCTCAACATTGCTCAAAGTACTATGTGAAAATATCAATGTTAACAATATAGTGTTTTTGCTGAGATTAAAGCAAAAAAAAATCAAGATTGTGCATATAGTTATTGCTAATCCAAATTTCACTGGCTAATCAACATGACATTCAGACACACAATAATTCAATTTAGTCAATTTGCCCTTTTCTGATTTTTAGTCATATATAAACCATATCTTTAAACATATTTTAATTTTGCTCTTATTGTTGTAGGCAGTTAGACAGGCATGAGCAGAGCACAGATTCTGGGCCAGGTACAGAAGACCATTAGGGTGGAAAGCCCCAGGTGCCTAGCAATGGACAATCAATCTTTACTGAAGATTAAAGCGTCACCCCCAGGATGATGCTTTAATCTTTAGTAAATCACTGATCATGCAGTTTGGATCTCCTGGTCTTTCTTCCCTAGAGATAACATCCAGCCTCAAGATCTATGTCAGCTCCAGGCCCAGAAAGCAGCAGAACCAGCCTCAGGACCAGCTGCATTGAAT